AGGGCTGTTTGCAGCCTTGGCATTTTATAATTTTTGGGTCTTTTGTGTACAGTGAGGGTCCCCTAGCGGACTACCATACTATTTTCTAGGTTTGCTGAACTTATAGCTTGTGGGAAATTAACTCTTTGAACTATTGTATATTCTTTTGTATATCTATGGGTAATTTTACTTTGTTCCCCTATTGTGTAGGGCTGTTTGCAGCCTTGGCATTTTATAATTTTTGGGTCTTTTGTGTACAGTGAGGGTCCCCTAGCGGACTACCATACTATTTTCTAGGTTTGCTGAACTTATAGCTTGTGGGAAATTAACTCTTTGAACTATTGTATATTCTTTTGTATATCTATGGGTAATTTTACTTTGTTCCCCTATTGTGTGGAGTAACGACATAGGTCCGCTCCTCTACAAATTCAGGATCTATCGTTAAATCACTACTAGATATAATTACATGTAGATACCTTTTCTTTCAATATTATACAATGATAGGGCGTCTTGCCCTATTTTTACCTCAAAAGAAATGTTTGATTGCATATTTATCTTTATTCAGTACTAATAATTGTAATCTACGGTTAACGAACAAGAAAAATTGTTGGCAAGGAGCGGATGATGAGGGTATATGTTAAAAGAGTCCATACCCTGCGTTCAATGATGAATCTTTCGCTATATCTCTTCGCGTCATATGAACCTCAACTAAATAGATATCCTGTGGGAGAAAAAAAAACATGACTGTTTTTAATCTCAAACAAATGGTCATATGATCTTTTAATCTCCTCAAGGAGTACTAGATAATGCAGGTAAGCGAAAAAGATACTGATCGGGATGGCCTAAAATATTTTATTCTGAATGCACGACAAAAGCTTTGAGAAACATACAAGTAACTCTATGCAGTAAGCCTAACTGAAGTCCCAACATAAGAATCCAACAAATCCAATTCGAAGATCACCAGACACTTCCTTCCCTCAACCAATATAATTACTTTTGAGAAAATTAAACCGATATACTTATATACATAACAAATTTGTGAATGAAAGAATAGATGATATCTAATCGTCAGCATGTAAATACATACGCAAATAAATTAACTAAATAATTACAAAGAATAGTTCTAGAAAGAATACATTAACTAAATTGGAGAGCGCTATCATTGAGCTGAACCCATTTTCTCGTATAAACGGAAGATTAAGGTTGACTTCGACATCTGTGGCTCCCTCTCCAAAGTAGCAATCAAATCTTTGGTAGAAAGGATGCGTTCAATTTCAGGATGAGACATTGCTCCAGGTCTCCTCCCATGCATTCTCATGCCTCCTGGACCATCAAAATAGAAAGGAACGAAAAAATTTATCTGAAATCAGCGCTTACGCATGTTAATACATGAAATAACAAAAGACTAGCATTTTCAAGGGTTAATTGCATGCACCCTCCACACTTTGAGTGCATAGAGGCTTGCATCCCTAAGCTATCTTATTACCACTTGCACCCTACAAACTCCAAGCAATATTATTTCCGAAGTTAGGTTGAAATGCGACGTGAAACATGACTATGTAAATTCCTTTTACACTCAGTTTAGCCGGAAAAAAGAAACTAAATCGCCCTCAAAATTAAGGGGAAAAATTAACGCCGTCTGACATTATTGGGTGTAAGTTCTAATAAATTACCATCATAGTACGTACAAAAGATGTATCTACAATTAACACCATTTTTAAAATAATCAGATTGTAGAAACGATAATGCTGAGTTGCTATTAATGCAACTTGGAAAGTGATGGGCACCATAAGGTTCAAAACCTATATAAAGAGGGTAGAGGTTGGTTTATTCATAAATCTATGTGGAGTCATTTGATTCCCAATAAAAGCAAGAGAAAGATAGACTACTAAATCAAAATTGCATCCCGCTCTTTGCTAATCAAGGAAAATGAAAGCAGAGAATTTCTATGGCTATATTTTTTATATAGTTATTGAAAGCTTTCACTACATTTCGTAATAAAAAATGAAACAAATCAATATCAGATTATGCCAGCACGCCTTATGTAACAAAGCAATGTTGGAAAAATATTGCACTAGAAGAAAAAAAATTACGAACACTTGTTTACAGGATTATGTGCCAATAAAGAATGAAGCAAGCTGGAATGGTGCTCCTAATGGGCAGCTTTTACTTAACTCATTTCTTGACGATGTCAATACAAGTGAAACCCAAAGGGTTAACACGTGGATAACGGACAGGCCTTCACAAAGAAGTTACCATCCACGTTATGGAGGACATTTCCCATACCTTCTGCAATTATACCTAATTCTAGCAGATAATGCAACTAGTTCAGATTCTGATTGAGCAGAACAACTAGATTCTAATTCTATGAAAATTTGTGCTCTTCTTCTTAGGCATCAATGGAGAAGATACATGGTTTCTACTGATGTGTGGATGAAAATAAGGAATAATTATTACTCCAACCAGGTATCAGGCTCCAATTAATTCTTGTTAGCCGGATCTATGCATATGTAATGGCCGCAGAAGGAATTGCATGGCTTCTTGCGGTATCACTGTTTTGAACTTGCCACCCATCTATTCTTATTTTTGCAGATAGACGAGCTGAATGAAAATATTTTGACTCTCTTACCCTCAGGGGGTCTTATTTGTCAAAATCAATTTTCTCTTTAGCTAAGGGTAAAAGGGTCATGAAAATTTCTCTCAGGAGGGTCGATCTGGCAAGACAAAACTATACAGGCGATAAATTCGAAAGAGTGATATTCCAGGGGGTCTACCCGCAATTAACCCAATCCAAATTGTTTGAGACACACTGTTAGTTGTATCTGTTAGTTGTATCTGACAGTTGCCTTTACTAATTACAAGAGAACCATCAAAACTTACCAGACATGGAAGCCGAAGTGCCTTTTTTTCTGGCTCCTTGTCCCCTTGAAGTACTACCAACATTGGTCAATAGCTTTGCACTTGTTCTTCCATGTTGGCAACCAAAGGGCCCATCCACTATCCCCTCCCGTTTCTGCCTAGCTTGCTCAGCCATAAGCTGCCATTTCGAGAGCATATCGTCACCCCCAACAGCAGCTCTAGCAGCAACATTTGCAGCTGTTGTTCGCATTTTATCATCTTCTTCTTTGTTGATCTGCAAAAACTCCAAATTTTCATATGAAGTGATAAAAACATGGAATGAGATTTCCCTCATTAGTTTCAGTTTACTACCTTTTGAGTCTTAGATCGGCCTTCATCCTTGTCTGCATCTTGCCCCACATTTACCTCAGCCTGGATAGCCAACACTGAAGTTTGTAACTTTCCTTTGAGGAAGATTTTCAAGATACTTGCCTTGGTTTCATGAATAAGAGAGAGAAAACTAGAGTGTAGAGCCCATAAATAAACCTAAACAAACTAACGATGCTACAATATGATGAGGGAGATAGACTTGTTATTCTGAAATGATTTGAAGCCGAACACTTCCCAGTGAAATTCAAAATTAGGTTCATATGGAATATTGATTCTGCTACAGTCAATTTTCATCATTTGAAGTACCTAGCATTAAAAAATAATAGCTCTAGGTTTCTTAGTCATGCATTAATAACGCATGAAACAGATGGCGGGAGTATCATTTATCTAAAAGCATAGATCTAAATGTATGGTCTTGGCCGCAAAATTTTGATCCAACCGTTTGATCATGATCTTGGTACTTAAAAGTACTTGCACATCAATTTTTGCTAGGTCTCAAATATAAAAATAAAATAAAACAAAACTAGGTAACTTGTTAACTAGACCTTCCATTTTGTGCCCAATTGATGTCTAGACAATAAAAATTAAACATCTGGCTTCGGATTAACTTCAAAAAACTGGATCTTCAACTACGTGTTCCTATCATCTGAATGGAAAGATTTTCTTCCGAATCTTTCCTCAAAGGAGCAAAGTTTGAGTTAGATATGTTTGTATACAGATATCTATAGATGTACATGTATGTGTATATACATTTGTGGTAAACTAGTGCTGGTGTGTTCCATGCTCTAGACTGATGACAAACATTCCGGCCACCACAATGCATATCATCAACATACCCTCATCACTGCTAAACGGTTTGGATGCTTCCACCTCAGCAACACACTAGGCCAAGGGCATGAAGGAATACACCTAGCTCATTTACATGCACACGCATAACGTATGTATGTGTATAAGTGCATGCGCACGCTCACACACACGAAGACACTTCGTTGCTGTGTCCGTTTGTGTGGCACGATCCAGGCTACAAGCACTACAACAAATTACACTTTTCCCGACGCTTATTCCCGACGCATGGTTAAATACGTCGCCAAAAAATATATTTTTCCCGACGATTTTAGTTAGCGTCGGCAAAACATATATTTTTCCCGACGTTTATAATTAGCGTCGCTAAAAGTGTATATTATTAGCGACGTTTTAACTAAGCGTCGGTAAAAGTGTATGGATTTCCCGACGTTTTTTATTTTCGTCGGTAAAAATATATATATTTAGCGATGTTTTAGGATTGGCGTCGCTAATAGTATGTATTTATCGTGACGTGTTAGGTTAGCGTCGCTAAAAGTCTCTTTTTGACGACGTGTTAGGTTAGCGTCGCTAAAAGGTCCTTTTTTAACGACGCTGTTTTATTATTCTGCGTCGCCGAAAATTCATTCGGTCCCCCCTCCCCCGCCCAAATTTCATTCGTTTAATTCATTTCCCCCAAAATTTCATTCGTACCCCCCGCATTCCCCACTAATCTCCTCTCTCTCTCTCTCTCTTCTGATCACAGCCGCCCCCAAGGATCTGCTCTTTTCCCATCTCATCCCTCAAAAATTCATTCTTTTCCGAGAGTGGCTGAGAGAAACCAGGGCTAGGGTTTATTGATGGCGGAGTCATCAGCGAGGGCACCGTTTTTTGTGCATGAGAAGGGGATGAATGGCCTCGATAAGCTCTACCTTAGAAGGCCTCTATCGAGTTCTGCTGTGGTAATTCATTCACCCTTAGCTTTCCGTTGAGAGTCTTGCTTGAATGAGACAGTTTGGGATCAGGACTTTTTGTTTCTTTGTTGTTGTTGTTGTTGTGAGTACGATCGATTAATGAGCTCAATCTATACGATTCTTGTTGAACCTGTCGGTTTCTGTGCTCGTCTGACGTAATTTAGGCTGTATCTTCGATTTTCTTGAAATGTTCATTGATTAGTTCTCTCTCTTTCAGATTTATGTAAGAGAATCTTGGTGCAATGGGAGTTTGGGATTCGGATTTTGTTTCTTTTGTGTTGCTGCGAGTGCAATTGATCAGCTGAATCGATCCGTGCGATTCTTGATGAATCTTTTGGTTCATGTGCTTGTTAATTTGATGTAACTTAGACCATGCTTTAATGTTCTTGAAATGTTCATATGCTCGTTCATGGCTGATTCCTTGAGATCTTTCTGGATGCCATGCTTTAATGTTCTTGAAATGTTCATATGCTCGTTCATGGCTGATTCCTTGAGATCTTTCTGGATGCCGGACCATATCAGGACACAAGATGCAACGTCACTCAATTTCTTAAATTTTTTTAGTTCCCCCAAGGATCTGCTCTTCCCTTCTCCATTCACTCAGCCCCTTCATCCAGTCCCAATGGAAACCCATCCTCAAAGGCTCATTATTATCCTTCTCAGCGGGCTAATTAGGGTTTAGGGGAGGTTTTGTGAAAATACGCAAAAATGAAATAGGGTCAGAGATCAAAGGAGGAGAGGAAGAAGAGAGTGACGCAGAGGTCAGCCGTTTCTCTACTCCGATCTCTCCGATCTCGTAGTGATTTCTCAACTTCGAGCTAAGATAACATCGTGGCCTCCGTTCTCTTCGAGTTTATTTTATCTTTCAGAGACTTCATGCTTCATTGATGTACATGGTATTTCATATTGTTCATGTGACATAATTCTTACTGACTTTTGATACTGAACAGTTAAAAGCAGATAAGCATTGCATTATGTTGAATCTATTTTTAACATTTGATAAGATTATTCCAAAATATCTAAAAAGCTACAAATTACATATTGCTCTTTATTATCAGTGAGACTATGACATAGCCTGAAGTAGATTTCTTGTGTAGGTTCCATCAAGCGAAGTATTAACCTTTGGTGATGATAACTTTATGATGTTGGAAGAAGAATGCATTAGAAAAGCACAGAATGCTGCATTTGTTCTTGTCGCAGGTGGGCTTGGCGAGCGGCTTGGGTACAAGGGGATTAAGGTGCAATCTTATTTTCTCTCATACTGATGAATTAGTCCACTTGTATGTTGCTAGTATTTCTCCCTTTTGTTTCTTACTTTAATTTAGGAGACATGTTAAAGAACTCATGTTATGGGTATGCTTTGGGTCTAGGCTGCATATAAATGATAAATCATCATATGGTTTGTCATACTTGGGTTTGTGCATTTAGTTTTATGCATTTGGTTGAAAAAAACTATATTTTTACACTAAGGACTTCCATTTGACTTGGTATATTCACATTATGTTTCTGAAAAATATAAAATGCGGTTAATCCTGTTGTGAAGAGCAATCTATTCTGTTCAAGTTTAACTTGATTCCTAAGTTCTAATGATTTTGATAGAGATTAGAAAGGATTTGGAACAAGTACGTCCTTTCTCATCAATTCAATGCTAGATATAGTTTTGAAAGTAGAAATGTCTGATTAATGCTAATTGTATATTAGAAACAAAATTCACTCCAGACTTTGGATGAACTTGTTTTCGCAAAAAAAATTCTTCGGAAAACTTCACTAGCAGCTCAGTTTTTATGGCATCGTAGTGTCCAAACACAATCTTGTATTGTTTTCTATGAAGTTGTTGTTTTCTATGAAGTTGTTGTTTTCTATGAAGTTGCTCTTTGATAAAGTTGCAAAATTTCAACAAGAGTTTGAATTCAGTGATTACTCATGAATGTTTTGAACTGGATAGTCTCTTAGTCTTAGACCGTACTATTATGCTCATCCCATGACTTGTTCTAGTTTGGTCATCAGTTGATATCTTGGCACTCGTCTTCATATGTTACTTTATCAAGCTGTAACTAGAATTTGATGATTTTTTGTCGCATATAACTTTATCTGATTTAACTTTCCTGTGCAGCTCATCACCCAAACATCAATGCTGCAGTCACTCTTCTGAAACAAGGCATGCTCTTGATTCATTCTCTTTGTATCTCTATGAAGTGGGTTTTCCCTTTTTGTTGATACATCTAGTCAGCTTAATTATTTTTACCTCGTTTTAGGCATTTCTACATTGAATATTCAACCATATGATGAAGATTCAGGAACTGGTGAACTCAGATATGTACAGGTCAGTGGTATCTTAGTGTAGTGCATATGGTGTAGGGACATGAGTGACAATAGCCTTGGAAATGGAGGCCAAATTCCATATAATCTTCCTAAGAGCCTTAAACGGCTGTAAGTTATGATGCAAACAATTTGTATGGTTTTGGTTGTTTATTTCTGAATTAAATTTTATGTGATTGAATTTGCAGAAATCTCGCTAATAATCAGTTTGCTCAAGTCATTCCTTACTCAGTTTCACAGATGCCTAATCTTGAATACTTGTGAGTGTGATTGTTAATGGAACTTTTCTTTTCCTCTATTGAAATTGTCTTCTTGATTATTTGAACTAAACCAAATTATCATTGATGAATTTAGAAATCTGGCTCACAATCAACTTCAGGGGAATTTATCTGATATGTTTGGAAGCCTTTCCAATCTTAAAACAATGTGAGTAGAACTCCTTTTTCTTCTCGCTGATATGTTTGGAAGCCTTTCCAATCTTGTTCTTATCATGCCTGATTTTGATGAAATCGTACATCTTATCATGAATAAAGGAGCAGGAAGTAGAGGCTTCTTTTCTGTTTATTGTATTATATGCACAAGTTTTAGTTTATGGTTTTTATCAAAATATAGGTGTTTTGTGAAAATATTGTTTTATTGATCTGTAGACTTCAATATCAGTTCATATGAATTACTAAGTTTGGTTTCTCAGTTCTTGTTTCTTTTGTTCTCTTGCATTTTCCATTAGTACTTGTGATGCCTTGTAGGAATCCATTGGTATCTTTTGTCCTTAGAATGACCACGGATCAGACAAATACCTGGAAGTAGAAAATAGTTATGTGTCAACCTTTTCAAAACAGGAGATCATTTGAGTTAAGTTTAGTTGAGTATTTATTGATATTTTAAAGCATATATTCAAGTGACTGAATCTTGCAATGAATATAATCTTATTTTTATCTTTTTGTCTAAATTTATGCAGGAAAATTGATGGTGGCTAAAACAAGTTAATCCATGTGTGCTTTTCACTTGCTGTGAGATTAGCTCTATCCAGATAATTTATAAATTATGTATATCAATGGAGAGCTTTAAACAGAAGACACTTTTTGTTTTAATAAAAGAGGAATTTTAGTCATGTACTTTGGACCACTGTTATAAATAGCGGTAAATAGCCCCGCAATAACGACGCTAATAGCGTTAGCGGTCCCTTCCCGCACCACTGTTATAAATAGCGGTAAATAGCCCCGCAATAACGACGCTAATAGCGTTAGCGGTCCCTTCCCGCGACGCTATCGCCCGCTACGCTATCGCACAATAGCGATGACATATTGCGGAATATGTCTATTCGCAAAAGCGGTAAATAGTAAGCGATTGCATTCGAAATTTGCTTTTTGACTGCTATTTAAAAACGGTTTGAGGCTTATTTTTTAAAATTAAACTCAACCCTTCACCATTGCATTCCACCGTCTCCTGGGATTTTCAGCATACTCCCACTACCTCTCATAGCCTTTGGCACCTATTCTGGTACATACCTTGATACTTCCTCTCACCTCCTTCACCGTGAGCTCCTCTTAGGGTAGTCCTATCACCGCTAAGCTCTTCTTCTCGAAGACGACGACTTTTTGACTCCTCCAATCATCTTCGGTATTATGTGACGGTTACATGTCTATTTCATATTTATGATCTCTTTAAATCATTCAATATGTACTTTAAGATTTCTTAGATTTTTCTTTATTTTTTTAGTATTTATACATATCTAAATTTGACCGCTATTTGACTTTGTGTTTTTTACCGCTATTTTGCCCCAATAGCCCGAAATAGCCTTAGCGATGTCTCACCGCTACGCGACGCTATCCGTTATCGATAACCTTGCTTTGAACAAAAGAAAAAAACTTGTACTAAAACCATTGTAATGAACCAATGAATTGTTCCTTATGTTTAGTTGTTTGCTTGGAAATGAAAATGAATGTAACTATTTTGCAATGGGAGCAAATTCTTTGTTTATCATAATATACAACTTGTTTGGAGTATAATTTGATGTTTGGTTTCTTTGTTGATGTGAATGGGAGCAAATTTTTTGTGGATGTTCAGCTTCAGTGTAGGCTATATTGTGTCAGCAAAAGTAATACTTTTGCCGACGCTATATTGCGTCGCCAAAAGTAATATCTTTTAGCGACGCCATCTTGCGTCGCCAAAGATATAGTTTTTAGCGACGCTTCATTTTGTGTCGCTAAAAGCTACACTTTTGCCGACGCTAACTTGCGTCGCCAAAAATATAATTTTTAGCGATGAACAGTTTTGCGTCGTTAAAAGCTATACTTTTGCCGACGCATTGGCTTTTGCCGACGCGACATGCGTCGCCAAAAGTACTACTTTTGCCGACGCACTCTTGCATTTGAGAAAATTTTGCATACTTTTGCTGACGCAAAACAACCTTTGTCGCTAAAAGTACTACTTTTCCCGACGCATGAAGCGTCGCCAAAAGTGTTGACTTTTACCGACGCAGTGCGTTTGCGTCGCCAAATACTTTCCTTGACGCACTTTTGGCGACGCGTTAACGACGCTGCATTTTGCGTCGGGAAAGATTTTTCCCGATGTTTTTTAAACTTTTGCCGACGTTTTTGTTTCGTCGGCAATGATGTATTTTGTTGTGTGAAGTTCTGATTTGGGGATTGATGATCTGAGAATCTGTGGCTTAGACCGCACCATTTCTGTAGGCACAGTAGCTCAGTGCTCATATTTCATTCTAAACCATAACATCTGAGGCACATTGGTTAATCAAATTTCAAGGTTATACATATAAGAACAAAGAGATTGATTCTTGTAGTAGTTTAGGCCAATAGGCAAGAGGTCATGCAGATGTATGCCTCAGACCCCTCATTGGAGAGGTAGAAAAACAACTGGTGGGCAGGATGACGATCTAGCAAGGAAAATTCAGAAGTCTGAGGGAGTTTATTACAGTAAAGGAAGAGTAAAGATCTCTCTTACCTTAGGATTAAGAGTCTATATCACAGAAGGACATCATTCAACTCCGATTGAAGGACATTCTTGAACAGATGACTCCGCAAAGGCTTCAAAGGATATTTCACCGACCAGGAATAGGGAGTAAGACTATTTGTAGGAAACTTTGTTACTTGTAAAAGGTCCAAACTTGAATTGATTACTCCTGCTGGTAACTGCAGATATTACCAATTCTTTAGAAAAGGTATGGTGGACATGACAATGGAATTCACTGAAGATTGAAGGGTTCTCTAACAGCAAAAAAGATAACTGTCTTATTAGTGATAGGTCCTCATTATCAACATCATTAGAAGATAATGGGGGCCCATGCAACTATAGAGGGTCTACATGAAGGTTGCAACAGCCCTCAACCCCTGCCTTGATGATGGTCAACCAGAAGTTCTGAAAACAAGCGTAAAAACTACTAGGATGCTTCTGAATTAAGAAGCCTAAAGAATGGGACTAGCGGTTGCCCGACTAAATTTCAGGCAGAACTCTTCATGGCACAGTGCCACAAAGACAACTCTATATGGAAGCCTATATAAAAGATCACCTACTCCATTTCAGCCCTATATTCCAGACAGCTGTGACTTTCCCAGTATGTTTTTGTAGATTTCCTTTTCAACTTTTCTGGCAGAAAATAGGAATTTACCTAGGTTTTTGACAACAATATTGCAGTTTGTAACAAACGTATCCAGAACTAAGCTTTCTATCTCTACGTAAGAATGATATCAAGACTGGGAAAAAGCCGCAGATCTATGTTATATAGGCGAAATTTTTGAAAGCAGCAAATGAAACCTACTTACGTCATTATAATTACAAAGTTTTTCAGCTTCTCCAGCCTGATTTTTTTCCCTCTCCTCCTTGGCTTTCTGGTTCATCGCCACGATTTGACGTTCGATATCGGAGGTGATAACAAATTGGTGCCTTGATTTTTCAATATCAATCCTCTATAAACATATTAAGAAAGATAAGTAAGAGTGAATAAAGAGAAACAACTTGAACTAATGAGGAAAGAGTACCTGTTTTGAAAATCTTATCATGTCATTTATCAGCCCCTGTAGCCGTTCCTCCACACACTGAAGAATGAATATAAACAACATAACACACATCACCAGAAGAAAGAATTGTGAAAATTGATACACTTCAATTCTCACCACTGAAAGGCAACGCTCCACATTGTCGCCCATTCCCTCTATACCACATTTGGACACTGTTATAAAAACTGAAAACATTAGACTATATTAAAAAAAATTCCTAACAGAATTTTCAGTGAGGCAAAAATTGTATTCTGTAGTTAGAACAAATAACTGATTTCCATCAGCTTATTCTGAAGAGGCTCCTTCTGTAAAATCAACCTATCTTCTTCTTCTTGTACAAATTTTCGTGTTGCCTCTGAAGCTCGGCTGTCCTCCTTAGGTGCAGATAACAGCTGTTCTTCTTCTTCCTGACAACCAAATCCAAGGTCAAACAGGTCAATGCAAGATTTGTTATAAATGAAGAACTAAAGTATTATTTTTTGCAGGAAGGTAATAAAAGAAAGCAAACAGAATGTCGTACCCTAAGGTTAACTCCACTAACAGCAGTTACATCATTGAGTTGTTCAATGCTTTGATCAAGAAGTGCCCCAGATCCTGATGGCTTCTGCTTTTTACTACGTGACATCATTCAAAGCAACCTTAAAATAACAAATAGTACAATAGTCTACATTTGAGAGATTAAGGTTGCTGGACCAAATAGAACAGAATGAAAGGAATATCATTCACCTTGCTTGGAGTTGGGAACTTCCTTGAAATTCAAGTGGTTTTTTATGCCCAGTTACAGGTTTATTTGGGGGACTAGTACCCGCAACAGTGGCAGATAAATTCCGAACTTGCATCTGGTGTCGTTCACAATTCAAAAGAATTGGTTAGTAGGAAACTGACATTATATAGGCCGATTTCATGCTTTTCAAACCAATACTTGAAGGAAAAACAATCATCATACTTCTGAACTATCAATATTCAGAACTTCTTTGATGAGTGATTGAGTTCATATATAACGTAAGGCAATTCCATCAGACTTTGGAGGGTAGGCATTTCCGTGTTGCTTATATATAAGGTGCTTAATATATGTGGCAAGTTAAGAGATTAAAGGGGTTGGAAAACTGCTATGGATGAGAAAGGAAACCTGAGAAAGGAGAAAATGGCCTCAAAAGGGAGGGAAAGACCCACAATGATGGGAGAGAGCACCAGAGAAATGGGATGATATAATCATAAATCGAATGACATACCTGCTGCAGAGGAGATATGCAGCAGGGGTGCCAATGAAGGGAAAGTAGCACCGACAAATGGGCAATAGAACACTCAAATTAAAAAAGATTTATTTCTGCACATAAAGATTATAGTGGATCTCCCTAAATTGCCATACAGGTAGATTAAGAAAAGTAAGTTTTCCATTTGAAACCCATTACCTCTCAACATGAACCATTGAATCCGTGTTTTTTCCTCAAAATTTCTTTTAAACCTCTGCAATTTTCACCTTTATACAGCCACTATTTCTACCCAGAAACTCACAATTTTTATAAGTTTGCAGAAATTGTGATATTAGATACAAAAATATTTAAAGTTAAAAAACCCGGGCCTAAAAGAAACTCAAACAAATAAAGGACTGGACACTTCGTTTGAAAGGATAGAATGAAACCAACCTAAAATTCAAAGGGGGTAGAAGATCATTTCCTCTAGAACTTATCATGTCCAGAAAAAATTGGAGTTAGTTGCTAAACATATATATATATATAATATATATATTAATATATATATATATATATATATATATATATTATAATATAATAATATATATATATATATATATATGAGATTAATGGGTATCCTTGTCATAGGAGGGGATTTCCTCCTTGACGTCTAAAATCACATGATGAGCGACATTATGCATGATCCGATCCGTTGAACTTGATCTACATATTCAAAACCCCAACACACCAAGTTTGGGGTGAATCCGTCGTCGTTTGACCCTCTATCGAGCCATGTGAAAAGTTCTATTCATTCAAAACCGTTAAAATTGATACAAGTGATGAAGGTCAAACGATGCGGGTTCACCCCAACTTGGTGTGTTAGAGTTTAGAATATGTTAGATCAAGTTCAACGGAGCGGCATCATCCACAATGTTGCTCAATCATGTGATTTTAGAGGCGTCATAGAGGAAATCCCCTCCTATGACAAGGATACCCATTATCTACTCTCTCTCTCTCTCTCTCTTATATATATTATATATATATATATATATATATATATATATGATAATATATATAAAATATATTATATATTTGTTTCTTTTTTAAGAAATACATGAATCCTGAGTTTTTCTTGCAAGCAGTTTTGAAAGGGATTTTCTCCCACAGGATTTCAGCTCATTTCACATATTACTGAACCCAAGCGAAGTCTAGGTGACTGATTATGTATAAATATGCACTCAGTTGTATGCCTAATATAGCATTCTTACATACAAATCTAAATATGCACAGTTCAAATAGGTGTGCTTAGTACTTGAGATCATATAAACAAGAGCATTGATATGCTTTCTAGTAATAAATCACCAGCTAGACAATCACAAATGCATCATAAGTCACTTTAGTCGAAATGGGAAACAGTTAATATGCTGCATGCCTTTGTGTTTCGTATGAGGAAGCACCCATACATTCATAAAAGCTAAAAATTACATGGATAATGAAGTAGTTTCAATTATCGAATGATAACCAACATAGCTTCACAACAGTATGAAAATGTACAAATTCATATAAATTGAGAACCCAGATTGCGTACAACAGTTATACCAAGGTTCACAATCTTGGCATTAAATTGGTTGGATTTTATATTTCCTCTTAATGGTAGAAGCACTGGAAATTTCAATGGATTCATCATTTCAGATTGAAATTAATAGTCCCTGGAATAAATTAGTTTAGTCATAAGGTTTCTATTTATTGATTTATATTTTCTATAATAAAACACCATGGGAAGTAGTCATATGTCCAATGCTCGAAATTGCCTTTAAAGGAAGAACTCAACTCACCTCCACCAGACCAACTTCTCAATCCACCCACAATGCCACCACAACAAACCCACTACTCATAAAGTGGGAAGGTAAACTCAAGCAGAAAACATTTTCCTGATAAGGTGTAGCCGATGACTATGCCATATGTTTTTGAAAATATGCAAAAAAATCTAAATTCGAAAGGATGAACATATATAACCTTTACATCATGTTATAAGCTAAACTAATGACAAGAAAAGCATATATACAGGCCTAAGAAGGCAAGAAACTACTGTGAAAACAAACCTGTGCTGTTGGGCCTGCTTGGATTGCGCTAGGACGTGAAACTGGAGGTGGTGCTGACAAACTCGTAGATTCAGAGAAACCAAATTTTGCAGTTTTTCCTTCCTGTTTTTCATACTTTACAGGTACAATATTTGGATTACCTTGGACGGTGTGCACTGAGCTAATAGATAAGCTCTGGGAAACTATAAAGTAAGGCTTCAGTGAAGGTTGAGAATCTTGATCGAATAATTCTTGTTTTACATGAGAAATTGATGGGGAACTGCTAGTTCTCTGGTCTTTGTTTGGAATATTTGTTGATTGCCATGAAATTGGTATCTGATGTTGGCTTGTTGAGTGAGAAACAGTCCCTGCCTGAAGTCTTTTTTTTTCGTTTGAGGCATTCTGCAACTCACATCTAGGAATATTTACCATGGTCATAGGCTCAGATCCCCCCGACTTTGTTGAAGACACACCCTGAGTAAATGTAGGTTGCCTCACTTGACTTGGATTTGGATATGCATGGGAACGAAAACTACTTGTACTTCCATACATAGAGAAGGATGCTGGTGGGAATTGCATCTGTTGCAAGAGCTTCCTGGCTGTCTGTAACTCTCTTTTATTCTCAATTTCTTGAGGGGTCTGAGCATTGGTATCAATATTTGAAATGCTTGCATCAGCCTGAATTTGACCTGTTGAACCTTGGATCTGAGACTGGTGAGAAGGAACCTGAATTTGTGACAACTGGTTCATATTTATCGGACGACCTGCCGGCACATGTACCTGTCACCAATGATAACATAAAAAGTGAACCCTTCCCGTGTATCTCATATAACCAGTCAAGTTTGCACTGACAAAGGTTTAATCTCCAGGCTCAAGCAAATCCTTCCCATGTGGAACCAATAATAGATAAATTAAATTGAGAATTCACTATGTTCAAGTCAATTTGCATCATGTATCATGCCTAAAATCCTTATGCTGTATTTTGATGTTCTCTTGCTAATGAGCAAGAGAATAGGCGTTTGTGTTCGTTTAAGGCACT